CCTCCTCCACTCAGAGCTGATAATTTTTAGGAAAAGGAAATAGTTTTTAACCATTTTTCACATTAGTTATTTAACTCATATTGTGTTAAAAGATTAAAACACATCAAACCACAGTTGGAAACAGAGGGAAGAAGATGAACATTGAAGTGGCCCTAAGTCTTTTGGGTTCTTCAGGTAAAGAGGTCCCTCTCCTCACCCCATGGCCGCAGAGTATCTTTGAACCACACTGAATATTTTCGCTAAGCAGCGGTGTTAGTTCCCCTCAGGAGAACCTTAGCTGGGGCTTCTAGGGTTAGGACATTTCTGGCATCTTCTCTGCACTGGCACCCAGTGATAAAGATCACTATTTTAAAGATGTTTGCCCTTCCCTATGTGATAATGAGAATGATCATTTGGGACAAGCTAACTCTTAAAAGTAATATTTATTCATAACATATGTAGAACTGTTTATATCAAAGCCTTAGAGGGCCTTTTCTAAGCTGGCTTAAATTTATTTCTCTGGAGTGAGGTCTTGACATGCTCTGCAGACCATAGCCTTAGAGCCTGGCTTATTTCCTTCAGTAGTGTGCCTACTATATTTGACCCCTGGAACAGAAAACCTTTTAGATGCCACCTTCCTCTGAATGGCAAAAATATTTATGTTAACACTATAATCAAACATATATTTGCATATTTTTTAGTTCCATAGCCAATAGTCAGCAATTTAAAAAGGTAAAGGAACTATTCAAAATCAGCAACATAGTTTATCTATTGTGTTAGGAACTTTTGCCTAGCTGTGACCAATTACCAGACAGAAACAAACAAGGGAAGGTTTTTTTCCCCAGCTCAAATTTTCAGAAGTTTAAGCTCATGGTCACCTGCTTTCATGCATTGAGCAGAATATCCTGATAAAGTGTCATATGGCAAGGAAGATTCTCACCTCAAGGTGGACAGGAAATAGAGCAGAGGTATCACAGCAAAGGCCCAGGGCAAGATATATCCCCAATGACACCCCCAATCACCACCACCTATTTCTTCCAACTATACTCCAGTTGACATCATACTCTTAATCTGTCAAAGGATTAATGCATTAATTAGGCCAGAGCCCTCATGATATGCTGTCTCTGAAAAAGTGCTCACAAACACACCCAAAAATGTGTTTTACTAATCTCTCCTATGTATTTTTCAGTCCCATCAAACTGACAAGATGAACCATCACACCTATGAACTAAATTTTTATTTAAAGCAAAACATTACACTTTACGATTTTTTCTTTAACTGTAAAAAGAAAGAAAAACTGTAAGCAGAAATAGAAAATTACACGTATATAATTTTATATACACATATAGTTAAAACTCAACCATGGCTCCAGGATATTTTTAAAACATAGGCCAAAGTTTTGTTCTGTAATATTTATTACTGAAGTTGTTAAGGGTTAGCAAGAACAAAACCTCCTCTTCCTTCTTAGAGTATCACAAACTTCTTCACCCTGGCCTTGGTCTACTATGTACAAGATTTCCAGGAGGTTAAATTAACATCTTCATACCCTTCCAGTTATCTGCAACTGCCTTAGGTCAAATAGTTTCTGGTAGACAGTGGTCAGTCATTCTCTCCCTTTCACACTCCTTCAAGATTTCCATATAAATGTCTCTTTCACAAATTCTCTTTAAAAACTAGACTTAGGTCTGACCTAACAGTCAGCCTAAGGATAATCCTGCCCATGAAGTAATGAATTTGCATGTTTCCTCTGGAAATTGACTTAGCTCTATTCTCTACTCTGCATTGCATTTTAGAACAGAGACACTTGGAAATACTTCTCTGCCTATAGCTCAACTAGAGATATTTTCCTAGTCCAGACTGAATGCATTAAAATTATGAAAGGATGCAAGCTTCCTGTGAAGGGGAGCAGTGAACAGCATCTACAGAAAGAACCAAGTGAACCACATATTAACAACCTTCTTGTTGGTTAGAACACAGTGAGCAAGTGAAAGAGGTTAATAGCTCAACAAGACTGAGAATATTAAAATGAATCATTACTAAAAATGGACCTAAGCTGTGCTACTGAAGTGGATCCCCTTTGTGAACATTATCAGACCGTAGTCATGAGAGTTTGGATTTGTTGAGGTCCGGAGGTCTATATGAATTTATATTGTTAAAAAAGAATAAAAGAGAGAGAGTTGACATTACTGAATTTTTTTGGTTTGTTTCTTTTAAAATTTTTTATTGATTTTTTTATGCATTTTACACAATACATCTTAATAATATTTAGACTCCTTCCAATATCTGAATCTTACTCATAGCACCTCACATCAGATTTATGCATCCTGGCATGTATGTTAAGACCTATAGAGCCCTTTGTGTCCCCAGATATCCCTCAGTGTGAGTTCATCCACTGGAGCCTGGCCAGCCCATCTAGAGTCACTTCCCTGAAGAAGACCAACTTTCATGGCTCAGCGGTTAAGAACACTGGTTGTTCTTGCAGAAGACCCAGGTTCGAATCCCAGCACCCACATGGCAGCTAACAACTGTCTGTAAGTCCAGTTCCAGGGGATCCAACAGCCTTTCTGTCCTCCAACGTCATTGCACAACACGAGGTGCACTTACCTACATGCAGGCAATACATGCATACACATAAAATAAAAATAATAAAATATTTAAAAAAGAAGACCAACTCTCCCTCACCCAGCAGTGATTAGCTGCCAGTGGTTCTGCAGCTAAGGTTGGGTTTTCTTGCCCATTTCCCCAGTTTTATGCTGTTGGTTTTTTTTTTTTTTTTTTTTTTTTTTCTGGTTTAAGTTTACGTGGGTCTCGTGCAAGCTGTTGCCATTGCTGCAAGTTCGTATGAGCAAGTTCTCAGAGGCCAAGAAAACGGTTTCCTTTGGGTCGTTCACCAGACCTAGCTCTTACAGACTTTCTGCTGTCTTTTAAAGATGTCATTATTGTTTTTGAATAGCAGGTAGGTTTGTGAGAGCCCTCTTGTATGCCTGTCCAAAGACAGGTAGCTCAAAGTACTAGTTGTATTGTTGATTCATTAGTTTTGAATCCTCAGTTTGCAATTTCCAGAAGTATTAGAACCCTCAATCCAAGTTCAGCCAATATAATTATTCATACACACATTTGAAATGAAATTATTTAACATCAAGATATTGGAAAAGCTATCTTATGCATGACAATGGATCAAAGAGAAGAGAAAGATTGTACTCATATAAATAATTCCAATGAAATTATCTTAGCCCAGAGCAAGTAGTTTAGGAACTAGTTCTCTGCATTCAAAAACTAGATAATCACTGATCAGAATTTAGATTTCATATTCAACTCCACTAAATATAGTATAATGACTATGAAAGTGTATTGTGTCTGTCATAAACATCATGCATTCTATGTATAAATATTACATGATATGAAGTTTAGGTAAATGGCATCCATTTGGAGGTATATCACTTATTATAATTTATATATCTATTACATAGAATTTACTTTTCAAATTTCATCATTTGTCTCCTCTGCTCATTCCTGGTTCTGCCAGATTGTGGAATCATTTGATCTCAGTCTGCAGCACTGATAGGATGGGCCATGATCTCCATTAAGGAGAAAGATTCTCAAGACAAATGATGCTTTGGGGTTTACTAATGCTAGACTTGCCCCTCACCTGGCTTTAAGTGTGAGTCCTAACGACATGCTCCTGGTGCCTAAATATCAAGATTGCCTTAGATAAAGTTCCCCCAGAATGGTTTGTGACTAGCTCAAAATCCTTAGACCTTGAGAAAGAAAAATCGATTCTTCTTGCTATGGTTTGAATCCAAAATTTCTCCTCATGCAAAGGCTCATATTTTAAGGGCTTGATCAACAAATAGGATTGGGAAAATAACTGAATTATGAAGGACATAACTTCATCATTGGGTTATTCCACTCACAGATTCATAATCTGATGGTATTATTGGGAGACGGTGGAATATAGGAAGAAGGACATGCCTGGCAAGGTGTACCTTGCCTGTAGTCCCTTTGCTTTCTCTACCCCCTGTTTACATGAGGTAAGTCAGATAACCACCACATGCTCCCTGACATGAGGGTCTGCCTCTGAACCAGAAGCAGGAGCCAAGTTTCCATAAGTCAAAACCTTAAGCCAAATCAAATCCGTTCTTCTCTTAAATAGTTTCTTTGAGGCATTTTGTCACAGTGGTGAAAAGCTATCTAAAACTCTGAACTTCTCCTGCCTCTGTCAGTCTTTACAGACAGTCTCAACTACAAGTTCATGTGTTTCTACCTATTGATTTATCTGGCATCCACGCTTACCTTTCAAAGAGGGAGTATTCATACAAAATGTGGCCTTGGTTTCCAAAGCTTTGTTTTATCCACCTTGGCTGTCCTCTAAACTTATCATCTTCATGTTCTTTTCTGCATTATTGTTATTCCATCTTAAATCTTTTGTGTCCTAGAAAATCATGCTGAGACTCTTTGGTCCATAAAGATTGAGCTTATTTCCAGTCCCTTAATTTTGCCCTTGTCATGGGCTTCTTAACTCTGTCCCTGGTCTAATCAACTCGTATCCTTCTAGTCCTATAATTATAACCTGACTCGCAGCTCCAAATTCTTTAACTTGCCACCTATATTTATCAAAACAGTATTTAATCTGTCTCAGGGATAGGGAGCCTTCATCAAACTGTGTGAGACAGAGATAATGACATGAAGCTTGAATTTGGTACCACAGAGCCTTGTGTGACTGCAGATACTTTACCTAATTTTCTTTCCAATTTAGTTAAAAATAAAGTTTTGTCCAGGTTTAATTGGACAACATATAGCAATATGCTGAACTCAGGGCCCAGCACACTACCATGTCAGTAAGATTTGGTCTGAGAAGCAAATTATCAGGAACCAGATAAAATGAGGAATTTATGAGAGGCATTGGATCAGCTTGTAACTAGTTTCTGGAACTGTCACACCACCTTTTCATCTAGGATTTAATATCACCTTTGAGGCTCTGTCTCCTGCAATTTTGTTCTTCTTTTCATTGTGCAGATTGCTTAAGCAGTTCCTGTAAGGCTATTTGCATTTGCATCAGATGATGTGCCTGAAGTGAGAAGGAGGCTGAGGAAGAGGGAAGGAGGTGAAATGAGGCAGAGAGAGGGCAAGCGGATGAAGTAAGGATGAGCTGAAGCCCACAGGATGCAGTGGCAGCCGTGCTGCTCTGCAGTAGCCTTCAAGACTGATTTGGATAAGTAGGAGACTTGAAGGACAAGCTGACACTGCCCTTCGGACCCTAAAAACACTAGTTTCAAAAGCTGAAGCGGGAGTTGAAGAGATGGCTCAGTGTTTAAGAGTGCTTACTGCCCTCAGAGGATGAGAGTTCAATTCCCAGTACTTACATTAGGCAGCTCATAACCACATATAACTCCATGTCCAGGGTATCCAACACCCTCTTCTAGTCTCTGTGGGTACCCACACACATGTGGTGTACACACAAACACATAAATGAAAAAAGACATTTTTTTTTTTTTTTAAATAGAAGCCCCAGGAAGTGACAAGAGAAGAGCCAGCAGGGGGTGGGGGATGGGGTCTTAGGTCTAGCATATCCACAGTTAATTGAACTTCAGTTCAGTTGACGCCATGTTGATCACCCAAGCTAAATACGACTCCTGATACCCTCTGGACCCCATTTCTTTCACAGGTTCCTTTTGCCATCACAGCATCAGCCTAGGACCACACAGAGAAGAGAATTCAAAGATATTTAGTTGAAGTCTTGCTAAGCTGGCTTTGTACACAGTAATCAACCACATGCTGTTGTCTCTGCCCATCTGCAGTTCCATTCTAGAGCTGAAAAGCAAGCTGAAAATTCACATGCAAATTCTTTAGGTCTTGTTTAAATGGACTAATTGAACTGGTGACTTCTAATTCAATTGGCATAGTTTATTCCATTTGTGAGGAAATTGGGCATTTGGTACAGTCTTTAGCCTTTGTCCTTTAGGCTGGCTCGTACTATTTTCCTTTGCTTTGTTAGTTGTCTTGTGTCTGGGCGTTGATACCGCCTTTGAGGCTACGATTACAGCAATTTTGTATTTCTTTTGAGCATGTCATAATTGGTTTATGACATTTGAGGCCCCTTTGAGCTTCTTGGGACGTGCAGGGGCATCATAAAACCTAAATTCACAAAACTGTTCATTTAATTGTTTTACTCATCTAGGCTCACTGCTGATAATCCTGATAAGAACACCATACATCACCCATCAAGGGCAGCGTTATTTTAGTTTTAGAAAGATTTCCAGACCTTTTAAAACCTGTGTGAGCTCTGAAGTTCTGGAAGAGCAATGCATTTTTCACTACATTAAATAATACATTCAAGTGTAAGTGGCTTTCACAGTGAGAAACTAAGGAAAAGGCCACCAGGGGAAGCTGCCCCTGCTGTGTCTCCAAGGTGACTGTCACATAGCAATAGGTCTGTCCCCTGGCAAGGCTGGAAACCTTGGCCTTGGTGGAGAAGTATGGGGCAGTCAATAGACCCCCTTCCAAGCTGTCACTCATAGACTAAATCTAAATTCCTTAGAAGAGAGATTTCATGTTTCAGGAGAAGCAATGTATTTCTTTGGCATTGAAGTAAACAGACCACTGCTTGAAGCAACCTCAAAATTAAAATCAAAGTTGGCATCTTAATATTTCAAAGATGATTTCCTAAAGATCTTCTTCTTGCCACATCTGCAAATGCATAAGGCAGAAGGATGCAGTTGGCATGTCCTTGATAAATGTATCATAAGCAGCAGAAAGGCAACGTCTTTCACCCCGCTTCTGCCTCCTTTGTGTCTCAATATTCTTTAAACAAATTTTGCATTTGTTTTCTGTGTGTGTATATTTGTGTGTGTGTGTGTGTGTGTGTGTGTGTGTGTGTAGCTGTGCATGCATGTGTATGCCCTTTCATATTTGTGGAAGCCAGAAGCTGACATCAACTGTCAACTACTCAATTGTTCTCCACCTTCTTTGAAAAAACATTTTATTTATTATTTTTATTTTATGTATATGAGTGCATTGCCTCATATGTAAGTGTACCTGTGTTGTGCAGTGCCCACGGAGGTCAGAAGAGGGCATTGGATCCCCCGGAATTGTGGTGATGACATGTTAGCTGCCATGTGGGTGCTGAGAATCATACGTGGGTCCTCTGCAAGAGCAGTCAGTGCTCTTAACTGCTGAGTCATCTTTTCAGCCCCTCCACCTGACTTCTCTGGACTTGGGTCTCTCAGCCAGGTTCACCTGATTCAACAGATTCAGTGGCTAGATTGGCCAAATCCTCCTGTCTCTGCACCTAGTGCTAAAATTATAGGCTTTTTACTGGGGTGCTGGGGATCTGAACTCATGTCTCCCTGCTTGAGCACTTTATCAACTGAGCCATCTCCCCAACCTTTAGTATTTTAAAATATTCAAAATGTCTAATTAGATAATTTATCTGCCAATATTCTGTCAAACACAAAATGTTGATTCTGGATTTAAGTGCCATAAAGAAATTATTCCAATTGTTCATTTTATTTCTGTTTTCTAAATTAGCAGTTTCTGAGTTTTCCAGTAACACACCTATAATGTGTCATCAGATCATTTATTAAAGATCGAGCACTGTATTAGTAATTTATTTTGGTCAAAGTGAAACCTGGCCAAGACCTCCAGCAATAGTTCAGGGGGAAGGATGAGTGCAAAGGAGTGAGCTCCTGAGCCATTGAAGATGGGATGGAACTGAAGTTTCCTCTTTTGGTGGGCAATGTGGGTGGGGCAGTGTACAGAAAAAATCCTGTTCTGCAGTTTCTAGCGTGGACCACTGGGTAGATGGTAATTCAATGATCTGAGAACGAGAAGGCAGAATAGGAGCAGGTGGGAGATGTGATCAGTGGGTAACTAATATTCGGAACTAACTGCTGCATGGTTGAATACATCTGCGGAAGTTCTTCCTGGCTTTCCCAACGGTATCCATCCTCTTGAGTACCAACGAAAACATTCCCTCCTCACCATCTGCATCTGTGAAGGAAGGGAATCACAGCTGCTTTAGCGCCCGGGCATTTGGAACGCCTGTGAAGCTATCAGCATTTCAGAGTGGTTGCTTGGCACTGGTCCGGGGTGTGGGTGGATTGCCTTGTGGATAATAATAGTGGTGTTAGCTGTTTTCAGCACTTGGCATATGAAGCAAAATTGCTGAAATCAGGGCACCTGGGGGCGCATCTTAAAATCGTGTCCTTTTAAAATGTTAACTAATGAACTCCAGTTTGATGTCTTGGAGCCCATGGGATTGTGGGTAATGAAAACCTAAAAATGTAAGGTCGATGTCCTGAATGCAATGACAAAATTTGCTTTTTATGCACTTTCAGAAAATGTGTAAATGTTCCAGGTCAGGGAGTATAGTGAGTGTCATAGTGTATTGGCATCTTGTCACCCTTAGACTTTATCCTCCTCATAAGACTGCATTTGTTTAGGCTCTGAATTGCATTGGGCAGCTTTTCATGAGAATAAAATATCTTCTGTTCCATAAATACTGAACTAAATTCACTTGGGGTAGTTTAATGTTGGTATTTAATCTGGTTTCTTAAATTTTATGCTCAGTCTGAACAAACTCAGATGCACTATGTAACAATTGAGATTTTTTTTTAACATCCTTATGCTGTGGATAAAAAATGGGGTTTCATGGATATTAAAATCCATGGATGTGTTATAATGTACTTCTTATTTTTATGTCTACACAATGTGACTTTTAAAAAAGATTTATTTTATATATTTGAGTGTTTGCTTGCTTGTAGGTGTGTGTACCATGTGTTTGCAATACCCAGGGAGACCAAAAGAGATGCTGGATCCTCTGGAACTGACTGTTTCAGATAGCTTCAGTTGTAAATTTGATACATCTGGGGAGGGAAAATCTCAACAGGGGAATTTCCTCTATCAGATTGGCCTGCAGACATGCCTGTGAGGTTCCTGTCCTGGATGTCTGCCTGACTTCCCTCAAAGATAGACCATCACTTGGAAGAACAAGCTGAAATAAACCCTTTCCTCCACAAGTTGCTTTTGGTCAGTATTTAATCATAGTAATACAGAAGCAAACAAAAACACAGATAGTTATAAGTTGCCATGTGGGTGCTATGAAAGGAACCTGGATCTGCAAGAGCAGCAAATGACCTTAACTTCTGTGACATCTCTCCACCTCCATATACAGCATAGCTTTTATGACTAACCCTGCCCTTGTATACATCTTTTTTTTTGCTATTCAGAATACCTGCTTATATATAGTATACATATACAGTAACAATATTGGTTATAGAGCTTATGATATAGTTTAATGTTAGAGCACTTGATTACCATTGCAAAGCCCTGGGTTTGATTCCTGCTACTGGGTAAAAAAGAACATTGGTTGTAAATGTTTTTGTCTGCCTTTCTATTTAAATAAGAATGAGGCAAACAAGAAAAGACATATCTCTAAAACACCAATTTGGAAACATAAATGGAGCTCCTATCTTTAGAAACATCTTAGTATGTCATAACTTTAAATTATAAATCTATAGTTATGAAATCAAACCCTTCAGCATGCAAGGATTTTCAGTCTGGATTTGGAATTCAATGGTGTGCATAATTTTTCCAGAATCCATGAGCTTCCTCACTGATGGTCTCAAAGTAAATTGTTCTAATAATGTCAAAAAAAGAACTATCTTCCTAATTCTGTTTGTAGTCTGAATCCATTCTTAGTACACTGGTATGTTTACTGTTACTGAACTTCTCTAGTCTTTACCTTTCCCAATTGCTTTCCCATCTCTAAAATGTCTTTTCAGCAAGTCTATCCAAACTGCACCCCATTCAATATAAGGTTCCCAGTTCCAGTCCCTGCTTTGATAATTTCCTTGAATGTACTCTGAATTAAGCTCTACCATGTTGGTTAGCAATGATTAAAATGTTATTTTAAAATCCAAAAGAAATAAACCTGCTTTTTAAAAACTGTTTTTTAAGAAGTGTGGGCCTCTCCCTTCCCTCGTGGCCTGTTGGCCACCGATCCACAAAGACAAAGGGAGCAGAAGTGACGAACAGTGTCAGGACAGCCAGTGAGCACAATGGATAAGACTTTCCGGGGAGTCAGATTCAGTGATACAGCTCCATTTATTCAGTGGGGGGTCAGGGAAAATATAGTGTGGAGGCAACAGTCAAAGCCTCAGCTGATAGGTGCTCACAGTATGTTTTTTTTAACATGTGTTAGGGGGATCCTATCATCTGACTATAGGGAAATGCCTAATTATCATATAGAAAAAAACCTGGGGGCAGTTTTATTGCAGGTAACTATGCCAAAGGTCACATTCCAAATAAAGTCAGGCATCCATGCCTGGTGGCACTTTCCAGGTAAGTCAGGCAGAGAGCAGGAGGCCCCCACTGAGAAAGGGAGTCCTTCCATATAGCACCAAGCCCTTTAGAGCTATCTGGACATGATGGACTGCAACCTTAGCAGCAGGGTCCCCCAACATCTTCCCCTGTTTTGTGTTACAATGGAGAAGTGTCATCACAAGCTTTAAGAGCCAACTCCTCTATCTTGGGAGAATCCAAAATTTGATAATGGACCATGACCTGATTGGTAGTAATTTTTGCAATGGAAGTAATATTTTGGTGAAATTGTATGAAACAAGGAGCAAGCATCGAAATGATACACAGCATGATCAGGGGGCTAACAAAGGGTAGGAGCCATGAAAACAAGGGGATACTAAACCAACCTAATTGTTCGGTGGGTTGAAATCTTGAAAATAGATCGTTATGAAGTTTTTTGAGAGTATTAACATTGGTCTCAACATTGGATTCATTTACAAAAAAACAGCTTTCCTCTCCCAATACTACACACATCCCCCCATGTTCCCCCCGGTGTTCAGCAGTTAAGTCTAGTGCTCTTCTGTTTTGGAGCACAACCCCGGCAAGAGAGTTCATTTGTCATTGGAGAGACTCAAGGCTGTTAGTCATGGATGCCGTTGCCTGGTGGAGCTTGTCTTGAAAGTCTCCTGCCAGGTGATGGGTCTGTACAATGGCAGCAGTTGCAGCGCCTCCAGCACCCAGGGAGAGGGTGAGTCCTAGTCCCACTAGCAAGGGGATGAAGATTTCTCTCTGCTGGTGGCTGTGAAGGAGTAGGGTGGCCTCTTCTTCCTCGAATAGGTACCCCTGGGGAGTAATCATCACAGGTACACAAAAGGTGGATGAAGAGGAGTTAACACAGTGTTGGGCTTTTCCTTTGCACCATAGAAAAAAAGGAGGGGTGACACATGCTGTCCTGGAGAGAGTAATGTTAGTGAGACATTTGTGGAGTAGGCTTATTTTTGCTAGAAATGCAAATTGGATAGTTAGCCAGTTGTTCGAATAAGGGACTATCCATAGATGAGAGTGGGTGAAATCTTTTTTTATTTCTGGGTAAAGAAGGGTGTTATTAACTGATACTGCTGTCAGTAAAGATGTATTGCTGGATGAACAAAAGAAACAGTTAGAGGTGTTAGGGTGGGTGGTGAAGGGAAGAAAGTTAGCAACATATTAAATGTATTGGTTCCAGTACATAGTTGATCTTATCTGGTCCTCTGTTTGTTTTTTCTTGTAGAATAATATCATGATGAGTTAGCACAGGCTTAGCTGCAGGTACAAGCTGTTGAGAGATATGAAAGTCAGTGGTAGGGTAGGTAGAGAATGTACCTGGGTAGAACTTTCCCATTACTCTGACACGCCAGCAATCGTCCCATGGATCTGCAACATATATTAGGGAATAGTCATGGTTCCCATAGAGATGCTTATTATCCTTTAGGTAAATGCGTCTTTCCTGTCCTGTTATACCCTGATATCCCCCCGTTAATCCTAGTTCCAACCTACAGGGATTGAAATAGTGGCATCTCCCATAGGTATCAACTTCCTTGAGGCATGATGGATCTGTCTGTTGGAAAGGAAAGCAAACATATTCGCTAGTTTTGTATCTGCTAGCATCTGGGTATATTATGATTTCTATGGGTTTTTGACAGCCCACTAGGGGGCAGTCTGTGGTTCAGATTATTTGATTTTTTTTCCTTGAAGTGTTTCCCTGACATAAAATCTCCAGAGCATAGTATTGGGGGAGGGCGGCACTGGCTGAAACATTTTTGGGGCAATTTTCTTTCCAGTGTCTGGTTTCTCCACATTTGAAACATTTTGAGTTGGGTTAGGTTGCAGCTACAAAGGCCTGTACTCTTAGTATAAAGTCTGGGAGGGTTTCAGTTGGTTTCTGTTTTAGGAAGGTTAATGAAGAGGCCTCTCTAGGCCCTGTGGACAAGGGGATTAGGTGGTCCCAGGCCTGTAGTGCACAGTAAGCAGACCTATTCAAAACAGCTGGCAGGAATTACACCCTGCTGGATTCCTGTGGAAAAATTGCCCTGACTAAACAGTTGGTCATAATTCTGATCTATGAATCCAGGTGGTGGATCTTGCCCTTGTAGTGGTCTTAGTTGTTAATTATGTATGTCATTCCTTTTAACCTGCATCAGGCATTCATCTCTAAACAAAGCTTCCCATTGTACAAATAATGGACTGGGGAGGGTGGATCTACAGAAATCTCTCCAGTCCTGGAGGGTTAGGAGGTTAGAATTAAAGGTTTGTAGTATGGCATGGGTCCCATCCTCACAGACAGCTTGGCATAGTTCTTTTAAATCTGCTGCCGGGAGGGGGTACCAAGCCGGTGGACATTGTCTTGTTATTTGTAGGTTAACAGGGGGGTTTTTGGGTCCTGAGGCCATTGTTGCTGAGGATCCTGGCGGCAATAATTCCCATTATTCTTGAGATTACAAAGCTATTCAATGACTGTGGGGCATGGCACCACAGATGGTGGCACTGGCAGTGAAGGAGGAGGGGGATTTATATGGGAACCTTTGGAAGTTTTTGGAGTCTGGGTTTTAACATCCAGGTCTGTTAAATTAGTCCATGAGGATTCATAGGGGGGAAGAAAGGGGTAAAGGTTATTTTTATTGATGGATTGTTTTGTAAGAGTGAAACCACAGAGGACAAGTCAGCCTTCGGGTTGCAACAGCAAGAGGTTTATTTAGTACACAGGTACCTGTGGGCACAAAGTCTCCTCGGGGGACTTGCGCGCCTCAGGTTGGGTTTGTGGAACTTTTATAGAGCAGAAGCGGGATACAGAAGCAGAAACGCGGTTATTGGTTAATTTAAACTATTACAAAATGCTACGGGGAGAGCGGGAAGCTTACTTATCAGTAAGCCAGATGTCTCAACCATAAAACTTACTTATCAGTGAGTTGGAGATGTCTCGGCCATGAAACTTACTTATCAGTAAGCCAGATGTCCTGGCCATAAAACTTACTTATCGGCAAGCCAGATGTCTCGGCCATGAAACTTACTTATCAGTAAGTTGGAGTTCTTGACCGGTACGCGACCTGCCTGAGAGACTTCATGGCTCCTGACTTTTATTTTTTCAAACCCAGGTCTTCTGCAAGAACAGTCAGTGCTCTTAACCTCTGAGCCATCTCTCCAGCCCCTATTTTGTTCATTTTAAAGTTGGAAAACCGTGACTCTGAGAGCCTCAGTAACTTGCTGATACTGCTGAACTTGGCTGGCTAGCCTGACTCTTTGGTAATCCACTGCTCACCTTGTGTGAACTCACCAAGGATAAGGGCCTATGGGTATAAAAACAGCATTTTTCCTGTAATGCTAAACAGATACCTCCCTTGTCTGCTGTTAGTAGATCAAGTCCCCGTCTATTCTGTAAGACAACCTCGGCTAGTGAGTCTACCTGGTCCTGAAGATCTTGTACAGACCGATAGACCATATTTACATCATTAATTAACTGTTGAGATAATTTGTTGTAAGTGTCTATTGCCACTCCTACACCAGCTGAGCCCGTAGCGAGGGCTCCTGAGATACCCAGTCCAATAAGCAATGGAATAAACTGGACCGCTCGTTTGTGCCTAGGAACGAATGTGTCAAAGCTAGGCAAAGGCACAGGCTCATCTCCTGGAATTATGTCTATGTCTGGCAAGAGCAATGCAGGGGCACATGAACCAGTCCAGTTAGTGGGTAAATAAGGATAGGCCATGTTATTTCCACATACATAAATTTTCCCCCCCCTAAACAGCCTGTCTGAGAGGTGTTTATAAACCTAGAGCAGGTAGTAAACATAGCTAATCCGAGGTCTACATCAAAGGAATTATTTTGAAAGGGACTAAAAAGGCAAATAGATGTGTTGAAGTAGCGAGGCTGGACCTTAAAAGGCGTGGTATAGCTACAAATATCCGGAGAGGGGAGTATATTAGACTCGTTACTTAAAGGTAAAACTAGAGGCCATGAAATTCCTAATGCGAGACACAGCCAACAATCCTCTGCCAGGGAAGGGTTGGAACGGTTTAGGACATCATGGGTGGCAGTAAGGATCTCCATGGTCTGAGGGTCTAAATTAAGGCCTCTAGGTTTGGGTAGCAATAGTGGATGGTAATGAAGGCGGGGCAAGAGAGACTCCCTTTGTTTTTGCAACACAGTTTGGACATAATTTTCTTTAACCTGGTCTGTAGGGCCCCCTCCATCTGATATGTGAATCGGAGCTTGTTGGGCCAACATGCCTTTTGTCCAGGTTCTACATAGCAGCCTGCACTAAGGGTTTTTGAATTATAACTTTCTGGTCCTATTACCTGAGTGTTAAGACTCCAATCTGAGCCCCCAGAGGCCTTTTTATAAGAAATGGCCGTAGAATAAAAATACAGGATGTTATTGAACCGACATTCAGTAAAAGAAGCATAACAGGATGAGTGCATAGCTTCGACGAAATTACAATCAGAGGGGCACTCACCATTAGCTGGTGGTAAGATAGGTTTAGGCTTAGACACACATTTCCAGCTCTGTTGGTGCTGCTGAGTAGGTGTACTATGAACACCAAGATATGCAGTCTTGTCTCCACAATCTACAGACCGGAAATATGTACCGGGTGGGGCTTCCCAATGGCCACCTCTACATTCACAAGTGGGACCATACCGGGTTAGCATAAACCTAGTAGCATTAAATGGTTGAAGGCCACCTCTTATGTTTTTGACTAAAAGTATAAGGGTCAGAACTCTGGTTATTAATTTTTGACCAGTCTTATCTTTAAAGGGTTTGATGTTCGTGTCAGTCGCCATCTCTCCTGCTGCTCTCCTGTTTGGGACTCCCGGTGCGCAGGTTCTGCCACTTTGACGTGTGAGGCGTGGATCCAGGCTCCGATCCCGTCCACTTTGAGGGCTGTAGGGGTGGTGAGGAGGACTGTGCACGGTCTCAGCTTTGTTTTTTATTTCTTTTCATTCTGAAGTAAGAAGTCCTCTTCTTTTGTAAATCTCTCCGTGGATGTGCGCAGTGGCGAAGGCGTATCGGCTGTCCGTATACACGTTTAGCTTTTTTCCTTCCGCCAATCGCAGTGCCTGTGGCTCAGCTTTTTGTGCGGATGTCCCCTCTGGTAAGGGTTCTGCCCATATTACTTTGTTGTCTGAGGTGACCGCTGCCCCCGCTCGGCGCTTACCCTCTGCAAGGAAATTGCTTCCATCCGTGTACCAAGTATAATCTGCTCCCTCTAGTGGTTGATCGCTGAGGTCTGGTCGGGTGCCGAAGACTTCAGCCAGGACCTGAAGGCAATCATGGTCAGCTTGGGAGTCAGGTCCCTCTGCCACAGGTAACAGTGTTGCGGGATTGAGGGTGATGGGGGCTCCGAACTGGATGCGGTCTGTATCCAGGAGCAAAGCCTGGTAGTGGGTCACTCGGGCATTCGAGAGCCATCGGTCCGGGGGCTGTCTGATGAGAGACTCGAGAGCGTGGGGGGCCCGGATGTATAGGGGCTGACCCATAGTCAACTTGGAGGCATCCTTTACTAGGATTGCCAGGGCAGCCACCATTCTCAGACAAGGTGGCCAGCCGGCAGCCACTGGGCCTAGTTTCTTTGACAAGTAAGCTACGGGGCATCTCCATGGCCCCAATTTTTGAGTTAGGACCCCCTTTGTGTACCCCAGCTTTTCATCGACGTACAGTTCAAACGGTTTGGTTAGATCAGGCAGGCCAAGAGCCAGTGCTTCCAACAGGGCCTTCTTTATGCTATTGAAGGCCTGTTGGTGGCGGTCTTCCCAGATGAAAGGTTCATCTGTCTTGGTCAGGAGGTACAGGGGGGCTGCCATTTCTGCGAACCCTGGAATCCATAGGCGACAAAACCCGGCAGTCCCCAGAAATTCTCTCACCTGTCTGCGATCACGAGGTGCTGGGATGCCCAAGATGGTTTCCTGGCGAGCTGATGTCAGCCATCTCTGTCCTCCGCTCAGCCGGTATCCCAAGTAGGTTACCTCTTTCTGGCAGAGCTGGGCCTTCTTTGCTGAGGCTCTGTATCCCATCTGTCCCAATTCTTGCAAAAGAGCCTCCGTACCTGCTAGGCACTTCTCCTGTGTCTCTGCCGCCAGCAAGATGTCATCTACATATTGTAACAGAATCAGGTGGGGGTGGAGGGTTTTGAAGGCAGTCAGATCTTGGTGCAGGGCCTCATCAAAGAGGGTGGGGCTGTTCTTAAACCCCTGTGGCAGCCGTGTCCAAGTAAGCTGTCCGGAAATTCCCAGGTCGGAGTCCTTCCATTCGAAGGCAAACAGGGGCTGACTCTGGTGGTGCAGCTTTAGACAGAAGAAGGCATCTTTCAGGTCCAATACAGTGTACCAAGTATGGCTAGGAGACAAGGTGCTCAGCAAGTTATAAGGATTCGGGACCGTGGGGTGGATATCTTCTACCCGCTTATTGATTTCCCTTAAATCCTGTACTGGTCTGTAATCCCCGCTTCCAGGTTTCTTAACAGGCAACAGAGGAGTGTTCCAGGCTGACCGGCAGGGGATTAATATTCCTTGCTCTAGCAGTCTTTTAATATGTGGTCTAATTCCTTGGCGGGCTTCGGCCGTCATAGGATATTGCTTAACAGCCACCGGTGCCGCGGTGGCTTTCAGTTCAATAATTAGGGGTGGCTGATGTGTAGCTAATCCCATTCCTCCTGTCTCTGCCCAAGCGTCTGGGTACTTGGCCAGCCACTGATCTATGCCTGTTTGGACAGGATGGGGATCATGATGCAGTCTATATTCATCTTCTAATTTAAGGGTGAGCACTTGTATAGGTGCTCCTTTAGAATCAGTAATCTTGGCTCCCTTATTTTCAAAATAGATGTGTGCTCCAAGCTTGGTTAAAAGGTCCCGTCCTAGCAGGGGGTAGGGGCAATCTGGTACATGCAGGAAGGTATGAGTCACCGTTTACCTTGGCCAAATTGGTGGGGCACCTCCCTGCCCCTTGGAGGCCCGCTACAAGCACCTGGCGATAAAGACGTAGGTGTCCCCTACCTTCAACCGTGTTGAAGTCCCAGGCAGGTCTAGTAAGAGGGAAGGCAGCCTCAATCTCATTTGGCAGTTGGGTCGGTCTCCCGTCTGCCCCCGGGACGTGCTTCCGGGCTTCTAGAATGACTCTCTGCTTTTCCTCCGTAGTTAGAAGGACTTGCAGGAGCTGTTGGCAATCGTCCCACGTGGGTTGGTGGGTAAGGAGAATAGATTCTATCAGAGCCGTTAGGGCCTGCGGGTCTTGGGAAAAGGACGGGTTATGAGTTTTCCAGTTGTACAAGTCTGAAGCAGAAAAGGGCCAATACTGAAACTGGTTTCCTTCCCCTCCTACGAGTCGGAGGGGCAGGACGTGTGTGGAATCTCCCTGTCCTCTTCTTTCTCTGAGTCGCCCCGCAATGGGGGAGGGAGCAACCTCCGGTCCTTCTGCTGGGGCTTCATCTGGAACAGCCGCAGCGGCCTGCGGGGGAGGGTGGTAGGGAGGGGGATTCTCACTCAGCAGATCAGCAGGAACACTCTCATCAGGGGGCAGAACAGGCTTTTGTTTTACCACAACAGGACACAAGGAGGTGGTTGAAGGGTCCGGATTAGGGGCAGAAGGGAGGGGGACTCTTTGTGCAGGACTGAGAAAAGGAGTCACCCACGGTGGTGGGTCAAGGGAGAGATTTTCCCAAGTGACTATATAGGCCACTTGGTCCGGGTGTCCCATTAGTCCGGGGGAGAAGATCTTAGCTTTAACCTGCAAAATAACATCAGTGTCAAATGTCCCATCCCGAGGCCAACCAACATTAAACGTTGGCCACTCCGAGGAACAAAAGGTTATCCATTGGTGCTTCTTGATCTCCACAGATTGATTGTGAGCTCGGCTCTTAACTTCTCTCCAGTGATCTAGAGTTAAACTCAGGGGGGTGGTTAGGTGTTGTCCCATTTTGGGGTAATCTAAAATCACAATGAAACAGACAAACAACAGAAACAACAAAAATAGACAGCCGGCGACAAGGTACCGCTTAG